CAAATTTTTTGGTGCATCAAATACATGAAATCACTTATATCGATACCGATTTTAATAGAATCTGACAGTAAAATTTTTCGACCAAATTTCTTGACATATTCCAAATTTCATTGAGATTAGAGTTACATAGTGCGGTTGGTACATCAAATGCTATATCTAAATCTGAACGATATCAATATAATATGACTAATACATTTATGTACCAAATTAGGTCAATCATTCCAAACTTAACTGAAATTGGGGATACATTACGTATTTGGTGCATCAGAAAAAAAATCAGCCGAAAATATATATGAAAGCTATATCCGTATCTGAACCGACTTCAACATAGTTAGACAAATTAATTTGGAGCTTAATTCCGTCACTTATTATAGATTTCATTGGAATCACACATAAATATCCAGTTTGGTGAATAAAATACATGAACTAGATAAATTAATTTGAAGCTTAATTCCGTCACTTATTCCAGATTTCATTGGAGCCACACATAAATATCCAGTTTGGTACATGAACTCGGCTGAAAATGTATATGAGATATATACAAATCATAGCCGATTTGAATGAAACTCATCCCAGTTTTTTGAAGCAATACGTATGGTGTTTGGAGCAGAAGATATCCAAATCTGAGCCGATTTCAATAAAATGTGTTTGTGAATTAAATTTTCTACCAAATTTCGCCACTCATTCCACATTTTTGTTTTGGAATCAAAAGAACATATCGTTTAAAGAAATCGGCCGAAAATATATATATAGCTATATCCAAACCTCTACTTCACCCATCATGACTGTCTTGTTAGCAATAATCTTTAATTACTTAGGTAAGCTGGCCGTGAAAAAAATAAGACACAGTTGCATTATTTTATTATTTTGTTTTGCGGATCGTATCCCATTAAAAATAAGTTCATCTTAGGTACTAGTTGTTATCCTAATATTGACTAGGGTTGCCTTATATACTACCATTGCCGAACTATGAAATTTGTATTCTGACTCAGTTGACCTCTTTGAAAAGTAAAATTCTGGGTGCAATTTGAACTAATATGGCACCAAACCCAAATGCACTGGCATCGCAATGCAGTTCAGTATCGGTTGATGGATCAAAGAGGGTAAGTACTGGAGACTCTAGAAGTTTGTTCTTAAGTATATCAAATGTTTTAAGTTCTTCTTGTCCAAACGTAAACTTCTTATCTTTTTTCGTAAGGTCGTATAGACGTTTTGCTATATGACCACAAGCCCAAAAAACACCTAACAGTGTGTACTTTGTCTGGGACTGTATAATTTTTAATAGCCTCTAAACCTTTTTCATCTGCCTAATACCCGAAACATCTATCGTATAACCTAAATATTTAACAATATTTTGTAATAATTCTCATTTGTCTAGTCGTAGCTCTAATTTATTATACCCTCCACCTTCGAAAGGAGGGTATATTAACCCATTCCGTTTGTAAGATACTTAAATATTCGTCGTAGACCCCATAAAGTATATATATTCATAATCAGCATAAAATTCTAAGTCGATTTAACGATGTCCGTCTGTCTGTTGAAATTACTATAAATCCCACTGTTTAAGTTGGCCTTCAACTTCCTGAGTCCAGTCAATCACGGATGCTGATTGACACAACGGGCATCTTCTCGGCAAACTTACCTCGGCGGAGACCGGAGAGCGCAGATGCCACCGGGCGGTGGTTGTTGTTGGTTAGCTCATTTTGATACATACGAGACTCTGCTCTCATTGGAAATAATTGTAAATGTAGTAGCAGTATTTGACAATGATCCTCGTCGATCACTGCGATCCTCTGCGATTGCAAGAACCTCTGCGTTCACTTCTCGTTTAGTTGTTGAAGTGTACACTTCTCGCGCTCTAACACATTCGTACTTCGGTTATACTAACCCGGCCTCTGACGCCACCCCAAATTACTGAAGGTAATTTTGTTGTTTAATAGAAGGAAGAAATAAGCCAATAAATCATGAAATCTATACAGAATTAATACTAATATCTTGTGTTTCATTTCTTGCAATTTCTTCCTTTCACCGCATCACCACACGCGCGAATCACCCGCACCTCTCACCATCACATAATAACTCTGGGGAGTTCTCGTTGTTGTTGCCGCTGTCTGCCGTTCCTCCACTCCCCTGAGTTAAACATTTGGTTGCATCGAGCCGGATTGAAGCCATCCCCTTGTCGTTGCTCCCTTTATTGCATGAAGAAGTCCTCTCTCATCACAATCATCAACATATTAGACTAGAAATCAGGTACGTAAATTCAGATCTCTATTTGAAGTGAGCTACCATAACAAAACATAATATTGGTTGATCTTCAATCACCCTTCGCGCTTGTTTTTGATATTTTGAATCGATACTTTACACTAAATACAGTCTACTTTGTCGCATACAATTGCTTTCGTTGCATAGAACACCCTACGTTGCTATGATCACACCAAACATATTTGACTTTGTTGTTGTCACTGGTTGATTTCTCATCCTCACCAACCAAACGTTTCGGTATTAATATCCCCGCTTCTCGTTTCAAAGGTACAGCCCTTTAACGAAAATTTCATAGAATTAACAAAAACGCACACCTCTCTGATATAATAATCGTCATTTGGTTATGTTGTCGCAGTCGCTAACGCACATTTGTTGTTGTGGCAATTCTCCTTCGCTTTCTAAACGTCGATCGATTCTCACTTGAGAACTTACTTTGCCAAAAATTGCAGCGACAATATCCCATCATTCCACGCGCCCTTTTTAGCGTCGGTTTGATATTCAGTTAAAATAACAACAATTTGTATTGATCTCCAACTCTCATTGTTGGATCGTTCGTGGCGTCGCTTGTTGTGTGTGTGCGTAGCTGCTTACGCATAGTCATTTCTCTGGCGACTTCGCTTGTGTTTTATTCCTCTTTGTGCGATATCCGTTGTTGGTAACGGCACAGTGGGGCAAAACAGCAAAAATTGTGAATGTTTGTAATTTGTTGAATAAATTATGTTTCGATCATTTCTCAAATATTTTGGACAAATTCACCCTACTTTTGGCATTCTTTGCATACATTCCACCTACATTTATTAGTTGAAACTATTTGTATTGTGGCTATTTTGCAATTGTTTGGGCAATAAATTAATAATTTTTTTTGTACCATTTGTGAGTCTCCCTAGGGTTTGGGTATTTGTTTTGAAAGAATACACCCTACATTCGGCATATACCGCAAAATATTCCTCACATTAATTATAACAATTTTCAGAAATAATTGAATTTGGTTGTACTTCTTAATAATTCCCATCATTTATTGGCACAAATTACGTGCTCGTTTTAGAATCTCAGAAATTTGTGGACACTTTCACCCTACTGATTGTATTGTTCTATAGATAAATTGGTTTCATAATGTCGATAACTCCAGCAACTCGGTTCGCTAGATGATAATCCCGGTGTTGTATAATACTGACAAGGATCAAGCTTATGAACATTTGTACATAACTTTCTAAAATTTTCAAAAACGTCAGTAAGAAGTAGAACGTCGACCTTTAAATATAGCTCCATGTAATCACGTAAAGTTTTTGCAAAGGGTAGTGTCGTTCAACTTCTCAAAGGAATTTAAATATTCATAACAGGATATGCCCTTTTTCCTCATGAGAGTGAATTCATTATCATTGGTGAAATGTTTTCTAATAGATATCATATCTCCATCTGTACAGTAGCTAGCTAAAGCATCTAAACTACTAGCCATAAAACGAATTGAAACCAAAAATCTATATCATAAGATCTTCTCTGGGGTGCAGTAGAAACAGTTATTACAAATTGATATTTTTCTTCTTCTAGTAGTAAGCTGACTCCTAATCAATCTGAAAGAAACCAACATATTAAATACACAAATTGATACATTGTTTATATTATATTTACCTTGAAACATGCTTTACTAATATAAAGTGAGCCTTATCTGCCTCCGCCAATAAAATTAAGTTGACATGATTCGCCTTTCCCGCTTTTGTGTGGTATAAGGGTCCAATAACTTCTTTATCGTATCCGAATACATTTATGCTTATCTCTGGATTGTTGGTTTCAAACTCGGATATATTTTTCAGCTCAACTGAAAAATTCATTCCTTCGAAATTGAGAGTAACACCATTTCGGAGAGTGATTTTTTTTGCCTTTATGTCCGGAATTGTGTATGATGAAGTCCTTGTTGGATTTCTATTCGGAATACTATCCATTGCAGCAATTAAGCACCATTTGAAGCAGAATTTATCGTAATTTTTTAAGTTCCAGCACGCTTTCTTATGTCGCAACGATTAAGGAGTATTAATATACTGCGATCCTTTAATTGGAGCAGACTTATTTAGGTTCAACTCCAGCCACAATCTTTTAGATAGAGCCCATCCAGAATCCCTTTCTTGAAATTCAGACATCTTATTCTTTATAGAGTCTGCATGTGTATTGAATATTTCATCAACATCATCTGAGAGCGTTATTTGATTCATTATGGTTATATGCCCCATGCTTGCAACCTTGATTTCATTCTCAAATATCTTTGCATATTCAACAACGTCTTCTATATTAAACTTTAAAACTGCGTACGTTTCCACTTTTTCTACGTTTGTTATTGCATTTTTAGATTTCGGAAAAAAATCATTAATATTGATTGTAGTTTCTTCACACTTATATTGATAAGTTTTAATGCGATTTTGAAAACCACTATTTAGCAATACCATTCTAGGATCAATAACGGTACAACTTTTTTCTTTGTGAGAGTTTGTTCTACAGTGATTAAACCACAGATTTTTTCGCACATTTACGTTGCACGAATCGTTGCACCCAAAGACATATGATTGCCTCTTTCTTTCAGACATCTGTTGTTGAATATTTTGTTCATTTCCTTCGTGATTGTCCATTTGTTGTTGTTGAGAGGTTTGATATTGTTGTTGGTTATATTGTTGCTGCTCATTTCCTTCAATATTTTCCATTTGCTGATGATGGTGATATTGCAACTGTTGTTCATTAATATTGTATTGTTATTGGTATGTTTGATATTGTTGCTGTTGATGATGAAAACTGTGTTGTTCCTGTTGTTGCTGCTGTGATCTATGAAGTTCTTTCTTCCGTTGTTGATGTAAACGATATGGATGATGGCGATTATTTTGATATGGTTGTAGTTGTTGATTATATTCTCCAGAATAATTATATTGCCCATGATTATTGTATTGTCCAACATGAATATCGTCATGCTCAAAATTATATTGACCTTGTTGTTGCTGATTGTGATGAGTTCCATAATGAAATTCTAATGCTTGAGAATTTATAAACATCTGATTACATAAATTACATAACTTATGTAGTTCACAACGCTTTTGATATTCCATGCTGTTAACAAATTCTACAGCGCAAATGTTGCATTTAAAACCCATCGAATTCATTTTTGTTTTTTTTTTTATTCAGAGAACAAATTTAAAAAATTTGTAGGGAGCGTGGTTTTCGTCGAAGTCTCAACGGAAAATGAAGATTTTCATTTAAAATAAATAAAGGAAAAATTCATTTCAGTTTACAACAATAATGCACACACTAGCATACACATATGGATAATTTGATACCTATTATTAAAAACATGATTTCACGAAAATTTATGATATTTACGAAAGAAATATTTCAATCTTTTTAAAATGGTCTTACATCTTAAAAATGACTTTGAAATGTCTCTCTATTGAAGCAGGTGTGAAAAGAAAACACTCATAATTTTCTTGTAAAAACAAATAAAGGGTTGGTAAAAAAAACTGTGAGGTATGTAAAAACAATAACCTTTGCAGAAAAGAGCGCCACTTTTCTTAAGCATGCAAGTCTTTTCAACAGGACCGGGATCGGTCTATTGATATTGTACTATTAAACAAAAGATCATTCGAAAATAATATTGCATATTGTGGTTAAACACAATAAATAAAAACACACAAACAAAATTAGAAAAAACACTAGATAGGATCACACACCTAGAACAATTTACGAAAGGGAAGGGGATTAGGGGCAATAAATTAATGTTCTTCTGTTCGAGTTGTGAATAAATCCTCTCTTAAAACTGAATCGATCCGTACTTGTCACAATTTGTTGCCGCTTACTCCCTTCCCTTTCTTATAACCCTTTACACAGGTGACCATTGATGTTCCGTATTATGTACCAAATTCGGTCAATCATTCCAAACTTAATTGAAATTGGGGATACATTACTTATTTAGTGCATCAGAAAAAAAAATCAGCCGAGAATATATATGAAAGCTATATCCGTATCTGAACCGACTTCAACATAGTTACACAAATAAATTTGAAGCTTAATTCCGTCACTTATTCCAGACTTCATTGGAGCCACACATAAATATACCGTTTGGTGCATAAAATACATAAACTCGGCTGCAAATGTATATAGGAGTTATATACAAATCACAACCAATTTCAACGAAAGTCATCCCAGTTTTTTTGAAACAATACGTATGGTGTTTGGAGCAGAAGATATCAAAATCTGAGCCGACTTCAAAAAAATGTGCTTGTGAATTAAATTTTCTACCAAATTTCACCATTCATACCACATTTTTTGGGAATCAAAAGAACATATCGTTTACCGAAATCGGCCGTAAATATATCGTATGTCCACTAAAAGCAAATTCATCTTAGGTACTTGTTGTTACCCTAATATTGACTAGGGTTACCATTGCGGAACTATGAAATTTTTATTCTGACTCAGTTGACCTCTTTGAAAAGTAAAATACTGGGTGCAATTTGAACTAATATGGCACCAAACCCTAATGCACTGGCATCCTAATGCAGTTCAGTATCGGTTGATGGATCAAAGAGGGTAAGTAGCCCCATATATCGGTACCTTCCGATATTCGGCATTTTAATGGTTTTTGCCACATTTTTCTAATGGTTCCTTTACCCTAAGGTGGAGGGTATTAAAAGTTTGGCCCGGCCGAACTTAATGTTTTCTTATTTGTTTTTCACTATTCTCTTCATGACCTCCTCCAAAACTTCGCGGTACAGTGAAACGTTATCAGAAGCTATCATCAGAAAAAAAATAAATCAAAAATGTTTTATAAAAAATTAAATAATTTTTGATTAAATATTTAATATGTTATATTTTATTTATATAAAAATAATAATATTTTAATAAATAAGACCGAATATAGGGTGCACAGTGTCGAAAACACATTCTAAAATTTAATTTTATTTGATGTCCGAAAGATTCAACGCAACAAATATCCGGAAATGGCACTAAGATATTTCGATCAAACCAAACAATATTAAAATAAAAGGAAACAATATTAAAATATGTCATAATTCGCTATGGTGGCCTAATTCAAATATATTAGTACACGATCCACCAGAACAATAAAAAGTATTTGTACATTATGCACCAATTATTGAAAAAGATAAAATTTATAATAAACTAGTTTCCTTTTTACAACAAAGCACTGAGGGTTGTTGGCTATATATTTCATATGAATAAGCGTCAAGAAAAACAATGAAAATCTGAGTGGTCCAATGATAAGATTCTGTCTCAAAAAATTTCAAATTTCCATCCATATGCAGAATAAAGGTTGAGACAGAAACAACAACAAACCCTTTTTGGTATCTAAACCCATCAGCAAAAGCAACAGAAATCAAGAAAGCCACGGTCGCAAAAATTTAAATTTAAATTTGTTTTAAGTTTTTAATTTGCAGAGAACAAACGTAAGAATACTTTTGCTGTTGTAGTTTTATAAATAAAAATTGTTGGCCGTCTTGTTCAACAATAATCTTTTATTCTTAAGGTAAGCTGGCCGTGAAATAAATAAGACACCTGTTGCTTTATTTTATTATTTTGTTTTGCCATTATATGTCCGTTTATTCTTGCTGTATGTAACAGAATGAATGTTGGTCGACAAGAATGATGGATGAGAGTCATTTGTGACAATCAACAATCAATCAATGTCAAAGACTTACAGCTAGTTACTATTAACGTAACGTAATTAAAAGAAAGTTCACTCAAATGTCATTGAAATTCGGGATACATATCGTGTGCATCATATACACATAATCGGCCGAAAATATATATATTCCGTCACATATTCCAAATTTTATTGGAATCAAATTTTTGGTGCATCAAATACATGAAATCACTGATATCGATACCGATTTTAATACAATCTGACGTAAAATTTTGCGACCAAATTTCTTGACATATTCCAAAGTTAATTGAGATTAGAGATACATAGTGCGGTTGGTACATCAAATGCTATATCTAAATCTGAACGATATCAATATAATATGACTAATACATTTATGTACCAAATTCGGTCAATCATTCCAAACTTAATTGAAATTGGGGATACATTACGTATTTGGTGCATCAGAAAAAAATCAGACGAAAATATATATGAAAGCTATATCCGTATCTGAACCGACTTCAACATAGTTAGACAAATTAATTTGAAGCTTAATTCCGTCACTTATTCCAGATTTCATTGGAATCACACATGAATATCTTGTTTGGCGCATAAAATACATGAACTAGACAAACTTATTTGAAGCTTAATTCCGTCACTTTTTTCAGATTGCATTGGAGCCACACATAAATATCCTGTTTGGTGCATAAAATACATGAACTCGGCTGAAAATGTATATAGGAGTTATATACAAATCACAACTGATTTCAACGAAACTCATCCCAGTTTTTGAAACAATACGTATGGTGTTTGGAGCAGAAGATATCCAAATCTGAGCCGACTTCAAAAAAATGTGCTTGTGAATTAAATTTTCTACCAAATTTCGCCACTCATTCCACATTGTTTTGGAATCGAAAGAACATATCGATTACCGAAATCGGCCGAAAATATATATATAGCCATATCCAAAACTCTCATATCCAAACCTCTCCTTCAGCACTCATGACTGTCTGTTCAGCAATAATCTTTAATTCTTTAGGTAAGCTGGCCCTGAAATATATAAGACACAGTTGCATCATTTCATTTTGTTTTGCGGATCGTATCCCATTAAAAATAAATTCATCTTAGGTACTAGTTGTTATCCTAATATTGACTAGGGTTACCTTATATACTACCATTTCGGAACTATGAAATTTTTATTCTGACTCAGTTGACCTCTTTGAAAAGTAAAATACTGGGTGCAATTTGAACTAATATGGCAACGAACACTAATGCACTGGCATCCTAATGCAGTTCAGTATCGGTTGATGGATCAAAGAGGGTAAGTATTGGGGACTCTAGAAGTTTGTTCTTAAGTATATCAAATGTTTTAAGTTCTTCTTGTCCAAACGTAAACTTCTTATCTTTTTTCGTAAGATTGTTTGCGTAGCAAAATGAAAATAAAGAAATTGGGAGAAAAATAAAAACACAAATGTTTAATATTTTTTCCCACTGAGCAGTGGACTGTATATTTTTTATAGGGTGGCTGTTCGTGGAACAATATTACCTTCGTACAAAGGGTTTTTAGCAGTAGGACGTAATCCTATGCTTGTAAGTACTCGTAGAGTCGGTGGAATACTGTAAAGGCGGCAATTACAAAACGTCACTCCTTATGAAATGTCATTACCTTTGACATTATGTACGAAGTACAAAGTCGTATTAAGAGGTAGTAGACATTACCTAAGGAGGAGAAAAATTACCCGTGTTACAAATATGTAATATTAACGCAATTTAATGAAAATTAAGTTTGAAATTAAACATTCCGCCGGCCTTTGCAACATTTCACCGTGTTGCAAATTTTACGTTAATGTTAGTTATTTTCATGTGAGCTCGTGGAGCACGATCGTGCTATGCCTCGAGGAGGAATGGATCGTATCATGAAAACAATGGACAAAAAAAATAAAAAAAGTTGTTTTCAATTTTTCATGCGAGCTCATAGAGCACGATCGCGCAATGCCCGAAAAGGAACCAATCGTAACATGAAAACTGAAAGAATATGCTCGTAGAGCAAGATCGTGCAATGCCTCGAGAAGGTTCTGATCTGTTGAAGGTTGAACTCGTCGAGTCCAATGTGGCGAAACCACTGATAACGCCTGGAGGAACTCCAGGGACCGTCGAAGACGGATTTTTAGTTGCATCTTCTCATCCATTGTGCATGTCGTGGGCTTCAGGGATCAGCGCAGCCATCAAATCGTTGTTCCTTATTGTATATGGGACGTAATCCACACACCATCATCGCAACCATCATTCTAAATTTTCCAACTCATATGAAAAGTAGAGAGGAAGCGAAAATGTAAATAGGAACGAACTTTGGTCAGAATGGCCACAAAACCGTAGGTCGTTTTTCAACTGTATAGTTCGATGCTTCGCGGCTCTAACGCGGCCATCAAACTAAGTTTTTTCCAAATTTGTAGTGAAAAAATAGAGAGGAGGCGTAGACGACGCGAAACATCGACTATAACTAACTCCGTA